TGAAAAATTGTTGAATGTTTTTGTGACACAATTCCGGTATAATTACTGGTGTGTCGAAGGGCTGGTTGTGACCCAACCCGAGACACCCCCAGTGGTTGGCACCCAAGCCGTACACAAAGTCATAATTGGTTGCGAACAACACGTTATACCCGAGTATGTCGTCAAACACGTGAAATAGTTTCACCTCTTTGATGATGTTTTTGTCGCATTTCATTGATTTGATTGACATTGTATTCATTAAACACGAGTTTAATTTATTTTAAATATAATTTTAAGTTAAATTAAATTGCTTGTACATAAAACTTGTAATATTTATTTCTTTGAATTAAAATGAATAATACATTACAGAGTATTGTTTGGTATTAATTGTTATCGGTTTCCATAGCTTTAAAGTTATGAACAAATATTGTTATTAATTATTATTTCAGGAATTTTTACGCCGATAACGAAAATTGTATTAAACAGTAGTTAATGGTTGTTATGACAAAAATCTAATTGTATAATAACTTTGTAAAAAAAATAAGTATTGAATGTAGCTCATGTTAAATTATATTTTGTTTAACTGCTTAATGTTCATGTTTATCATTTACTAATTTCCTGTTGATATTTACTATTAAAATTTTTAAACTAGTTTATAACAGGATTAATGTTATCATTACTTAACACAATTAACGCATTATAATATTAATTTTAATTACAATTAATTTATTAAAGTTTGTTAGTTAAAGTTAATTATAAAACAAGGTTAACACCAAGGCTATGAATAAACAAATAGAAGTTATACCATAACTTAGGGTGCACTTATACAAGCAATTATGATTGTGATATTTGATTGACCATGGGCCTAATTGGTGCCCATCCACAGAATCCATTAGTTGAGTCATGTCTGTGAACTGATTGACGCCCAACCGATACGTGTGAACGCCTTTATCGGCCTCTTTGTTGTGGTCGCGAATCCGGCGGTAATTGTCGGCGAATATCTGCCGGCGCTTCGACTCGCCGTAGTCTCGCATTATTTTCAATGTTTTGTCGGTTCGGAACTTAAGCTTTAAATATATGAATAAAATTTACCTTAAGCCAAAATTATATATTATTATGTAATTTAACAAGTTCAAATTATTATATAATTTACCTTAAACTTTTGCCACTCAAACTCAATCTCTTCTGGTGTTATGTTTATTAATTGCTCAGCCATTAAAAATTTAATAGACTTGTATTATTACTGATTACAATGTAAAATAAATTCACTTCTTTGTAGTATTTATTTGCTATAATTGTATGTTGCTAATAAACACAAAAGAGTTTTTATATCCCTTTATATAATTAATATATACTACGTTTTAAATAAACATAGTTGTTTTTATAAAATTAGTATTTCATATTTCTAGGTAAATATTTACAATGAAAAGATTTGTCGATAAAAATAATGTAAATATAATTTACATAGTAATCTATAGCAGGATGTCTAAAAAGATAGGCTTTGCCTATATGCTCCCATAGACAATACATTACAGTTTTGCTCAATTTCTGCTCATCTAGACGCCCTGATCTATAGCCATGGCTCTCGTATATATTTCATTTCTACATAAACTAACCATGTGACAAAAAAATCTTAAAATATAAATATTTACCGACATGGATCTACTGTATGTGTAAAGTTATAATATTGTCACTTCAGCGGTTCCCGAGAAATCGCAAATGTAACTAGATCATTTGTTATTCAACTGCTTATTATTTACTGATTTCTATTAAAGGAATGATAAAATATTTTCAGTAAAAAACATTAACAGTATTACAAATATTTCTTAACTCAATACTGAAATATATTGATAATAATTCAAAACTTTGGACAGTTATTTAATAAAAAATTAATTATTACTTAAAGTACTTAAATACTTAAAGTATACGGTATAATATACTAAATATTAATCTCACGTTAGTGTTCCCAGTTTAAAATTTCAATTTCCATGAAAAATGTACTTAAGTAATACTTTCATTGAGATTCCTTGAGTTTTTTCTTGATACGTTTTTAAAACAAAAATAAGAATTTAAACTATTAATACATTATATAAATTGTAATTTATATTGCATTACAACTGCCTTTTAGAACACTAATCTATATTTGTGAACTTGAACAGTTGTGTTCCCCCATATTAAGGCGAGACTCCCGTCGCGAGACAGGAACAAAACCTCAATTCCTGGAGACTCCTGCCATTCAGGGAGCTTCCGGGAACACTACTCACAGTATATAGTAAGAGTTTTAATTAATAAAGTATATATTTGCATTTAAATTAATTAAATCTTATAAATTACAATGCTCATTCTCATAAAATTGCTTCAATAAAAAATAAATAAAATACATATACAAAATATTTCATCATAGAATAAACGAAAAAAATCCAACAAAACAATTATAAATAAATTAAATTAACATGGTCGAACACCAATCGGATAGACACAATCATTAGCGATACCGCAAACGTTATGACAATTACGAGCTAGTTTCATATAACCCCTTTCGCCCCACGTGTCTGAGTAGCTATTTTTGATGAGCCAATAGTCGCGACCGTCGACTGTGCCGTAACCGACGACAACAACCGCGTGATTACTATCGCCCGTACTATCGGTGAAAACACCGCTTTCATAATCTCGCAATTTTTGCCCATTTATATGTAGGCCGACGGCTACCGGGCCTTTGGTGCCCACTATACCCATCAGTGCCATCTCGTCGCCAGTGTCGAGCCCGCAATAATTGGTCATGGTTACTCTTGTCTGTGCCACCGTATTAGGACCGGGCCGGTCGATGTATGGGTAGTCCGATTCCAGCGCTAAACCACCGGTTGGTCTCATTGCCAACCGGTATACGTCTCTCATGTCGCCGCCATCGCGCCATACGGTCGGGTCGTTGAGTCCGTCGATCGCCTGTTGAACCGATAACTCTAGTAGTTGTTCGCGTGGATTGCCTATTTTATAATGACCTGAGCAATTTCAAAACAAATGAGTTTGATTAAAATATAATTCTAATGTTGTTTATTAGTAATAAATTATTTTTAATATTTACTTTCAATTGTGTCGACCGCTGCGAATGCGAAACACGTTGGACTCTATTGTAAATATGACATTGGTTAATTTTTTCATCTATTCTGGGGAAAACATTGGGGTAAATTTGTTTTTATAATTTATATACAATATTGTATTCAAATAATCTGATAAATTATATCATGGTAACACTGCGTTCTGCGTCTAATAAGTTCAAATATGTTTTTAATAAACATACGTTTTGTTGGTTTTTGACCATGGTGACTACACCTTTATCGCACCAATTAAAGCTATCAGGCGTCTCATCCAAAGGTTGCTCATCCATTTCAACGAACTGGGTCGCTTTATAGCGCTTAGAACTTGGTAGAGGTGGCACATTGCGCAATGTAGCGCTAAATTCTTGATCAGTCATATCTGTGAACTGATTGACGCCCAACCGATACGTGTGAACGCCTTTATCGGCCTCTTTGTTGTGGTCGCGAATCCGGCGGTAATTGTCGGCGAATATCTGCCGGCGCTTTGACTCGTCGTAGTCTCGCATTAGTTTCAATGTAGTGTTTGTCCGGAACTTACGCTTTAAATAGTATAATATAAATATTTATATCATGGGGTTTATATTATTTTCATCATATTGCTACATAACAAGGTTTTCAAGCAAATTGATGAACATCATTCGAGAAAAGTAATATTAATGTAAAATTTTACACAATTTCTAGCATATTACTTAAATTCTAATTACGATACCACTGTAATAGCCATAGAATAGCCATTTAACTGCATTGTTATTTCAGTTATAATTGTCCGTAATTATAAAGAAATCCTACAGTAAAAACATTATCCCATTGGAAGGCATAACAACAATTACTTTAAAACCTAACATTGTATATGTTTATTTATATTGTATACTTATTAGAAAGTGGCTTATTATTATATAAAATGTATTGTTATATATTTATGATTGGGATAATTTACCTTAAATTGTTGCCACTCATTGTTAATCTCAGTTGAAAGTATTGAACTGTTCATCATTACCACCTCTGATCAAAATTCAGAATTAAATTTGATAACAAATTGTTTTTAGTTTTAAATATAAAATAATTTAATTGTAAATACAAGTACAATTAAAATAATATATTGTAAATAACTAAAAATACAATCAATATTTGAACAAATTATAATTACATTATAAATGATCTACATGAAACTAATTAAGTTGCATGCATTTAAATATTTAATTTGTATATTTTGTTCTATATTTTCTTTTTATATTTGACAATAGGCAATATACTTTACACTTTTCTTGTAATTAAATAATCACGTATTACTCGTGGTAATACGTAGGTAATTTACTGATATTGTAAAGGAACTTTATATTAAATATTATAATGGTGAGGTAATATTAAAATCAGAAGTACTGTTTGATAAAACATTTAATGTAATTTTAATAAGTGCTTCCTATAGATTATCACTTTAGCTATTCTAAACTGTCCTAAATGACATTTATTATTGAATTACCAACATCATTTATATGAAATACGTTTAGATTATTAAAATTTATTTATAAAATATTGATATTGATTATTGATAAAATTTTATTAATTTAATAATTTTTTATTTTATTAATTAAAAGTATAATTTTAATAAACAATAATATTAAATTCATAAATTTTAATTATTATTTTCAACGTACTTTACAATATTAATATTAATTATATTCTATTAATTTATAAAGTTTAAAAATTATTACTACCACATAAATAAAATACTCGACGCAAATCAAAAGGTTAATTTTGATTATGATATCATTTATTAATATTTCATTATGATTAATGTTAATATAATTATCAATTAATTAAAATAGCAATTGATATTTATAACAATGATCTTATAAAAAGTCAATTATATAATATTTAATTAATAACTAATTTAATTAAGTTTAATAAACTTTTGTTAAAAAATATTCTAGTATAGAATAATTTTGAGATATCATTATAGTATTTATTTATTAAACATTAGAAAATTAGATACAAATTTGCTCAAAAAATTAAATTAATTAAATCAATAAATACGTATTTTATTAACTATATGTATCAATATTTCAATACAAGTAAGCTAAGCTTGACCTTTAAAAAAGTCTTAAACCTACATAGGTGATATAATCAATCATATGATTTATTAATTTCATATTAATTACTTTTATCATACAATTACCTCATGGGATTAAAATTTTTAAAACCTACTCAATTATTCCTATGCATAATCCTGTATGTTGAATATTGATAACTTTAGGGTATATAAAATCATCCCTTTTGCAAATAAACAATTATGTATAAAATTTAATATTTTTATATACTGCAAATCATTTGAAATGTAAATATAATTTGTTTAATATCATTTATTTTACTTTTAAGGTATTTGAAAACATTTTCTACTAACTAAAATTTGCAATGTTTAATATTATTGTATTTTTATTATATTTTAAAGTCAAAAAATTTCATAATTGTGGTCAGAGGTGGTAATGACGAACAGTTCAGTAGACATACGTTATGATAAGATTGACAATGAGGGACCACTATTTAAGGTAAACTATTACATTCACTACTAAATACTAAATACATTCACCATAATTATAGAAAATACAAATCTTTTAAATAATGTTTAATACAATTAAAATAATATATTTTTAGCCTCAATTGTCTATATAAGATGAAGTTTATAAGATTGCTCTAATAATCGGCATTGCAATTGCAAATTAGAATTCACAGCTAATGTTATTACAAATATTGGAAAAGTATGTTTTAAAATCTTAATAAGATTTATTTTAATCACAATTCAGTATGAATAATGTAGATTATATTGGTATTTTAAATACCGTATTTATAATCAATAGTATTCTAGAATATCTCAATGTTATTATATTGGTATTTATTTATACTTTATATTCTTTGATGTATTACCTGTATTAGAGTTAAACTATAGGTTATGACAAATAACTTTGTTTACAATTCATTAAAAATTAACGCTCATATTTTTAACCACTATTCTGATAGGAATAATGTGGTTTATAGGATCGTTCTGCCCCCTCCCCCTTCCCCCCGCTCTATGGGATTTAACATGGGAGGGAATAAACAAGGATCACAC